TATTATTACATGCAAGCGTGTTTGATTTATGGACCAAGTGTTCAAACCACGTTCCAGGGGGCGCTGTCGAGCCCCCCTGCCACGCCCGGGTACCAGCTTCAGCCCGGCCCTGATGGCCGCGGGTTCTGAGATGTGTGCAAAGTTTCAAGAGTTTTCGAGCACGTTAAAGGGTCACTCCACCCATTTGCATTAAGAGGTCCATTGTTAGACAACCAGTCATACTATTGAATGGTCGTGCAACATTCTTTCATTTTCCCCTGAGACAAGAGAAATCTACTATTTACCTTTTTCACTTCCTCCTACAATGACGCAAAAATCGTCATTTGACGTCATTGTAGGAGGAAGTGTAAAAAGGGGGGATTTCTGTATAGACTACAAGCACAAATTCCCACCCTTTCAAACCCGCCCATAGGGGGTTGTGCCTAATGCGCTAACAGAGCTATCACAGATCAGTGGGTGGGACTTCACTTGCAGATACTGAAAGCAATATCAGCCATCTTGTTTATAAGCTAAGCTAACAAGCGCTGTGGAGATAGGAAGTTACGACAATGACGGAAGAAACTAAACATGATATGGAAGTAGAGGATTTTGAAATTCTGCTGCTCGAATCCGCTCTTCGTGGCTATCTTTACGAGCCGCAATATAGTGAAGAGCAGCTGAGGCTGATGGAGGATCAGGAGGCGGCTGCCTGTCGCGAACGAGGAGCCCGGACTGGGTCGAGCTGAGGCGGGCTGCTGGTGCGTGTGCTCTCGCTGTGCGCTACGGACACAGATAGAGTCCGTCTGCTGCAGAGAATTTCAACGATCGCAATTTCTCCTAGACGAAATCTCTGAATCAGACGAGCACACGGACGTTTGTGTTGTGATGTGAACCATCCTAGTTTCGCCTGACTGAAAATCCAGGTATCATGCAATAATTCACCATATAGAAAGAAATACAAACGAGTAATTCACTAATGAGTTTGCCAATGTAACGGGGTTCGTTGTTGTGGGAAGAAGGAGGCTGGAACCGGCGAACATTTAAACATTTTAATAGTAAAATAAACAAATACAAAACAAAAGTATAAGCCAGCTGGCCACACACAACAGAAACAAAACATAAAATCAGGCCTGTTCCTTTTATGCTTCCGCTCCTCCGTGAGAGATATGAGACCGCTGCACAGGTGCCATTCATTATCACTCGCGTCGTCCTCTCACGTCCCTCGCCCTCGTCCTGCTCGCCACAACTAACTAGACATTTTTTGTGAAATGAATTTCAAACTCATTTAGCAGCTAGCCTTCTTGTAGACGGAAGAGTGATTTCTCTGATGTTTGCGCTGTTCTGGATTAGTGGGAGTGGCTTGCGGAGCTGTGCAACGTGGTGCATTGTGGGAGTTGTTGTCTTACATACAAATGCGCCCTAAAGTTATTTTCTGTCTTTTCTCGGTCAAGAGGGCACCAAATTCAAAATTTCTTTTACATTTCGACTACATATATAACCCACTTTCAATAAAGATTAATGTTGAAATGGGTGGAGTGACCCTTTAAGGCCCCCAAAAGTGCCCAAAAGGTAGTAAAATAATAATAATAATAATAATAATAATAATAAAGAATAATCCTTAGGAAAACAATAGGGCCTTCGCCTTTTCAAGGCTTGGGCCCTAATAATAATAATAAATAATAATCCTTAGGAAAACAATAGGGCCTTCGCCTTTTCAAGGCTTGGGCCCTAAATATAGCTGCAAGAGCCATTACCGGGGCCAAGCGCAAGAAGCGGCAACAGATGCCATCATGGGTGGGAGTGGCAGATCAACTGCAGCAAGGAGCAATTAAAGACATTAAGAGAATTTTGGTAAAATGGCTGAAAAATCAAATACATTAACTAAAAGTATGATTTAATGGATTATCACTTTCGACCAATAGGTGGCGCAGTTACGAAATCGATATAATGTGGTCAGAGTAAGGTGACAATGACACATACAAAGTTTGGTGTCAAAATGGCAAGGCATTGCAGAGATAAAGACTTAATAGTCATTTTGGCAGCATGCCTCAACTTTGCTGCTGCGGTATACAAAAACGGTTTAATCTATCGTCACGAAATCCATAACTTTTAGTCGGCACGGTCTGGAGATGATATGATTCGATTTTGGTGAAAATCGGACGATCGGTCTAGAAGTTCCAAAAAGAAGGTTTTGAAAGTAAATCAAGATGGCGGACAGGAAAATCGTCCAAATACGTCAGACTTGGTATCTATGTTCTCGGCATGACCCAAGGAATCTATTAAGAGCAGTGTCATTACAATAGGCATATTTATTCAAAAGTTATTAGCATTTTTGGAAATTTAATTTAACTTTTGACCAACAGGTGGCGCTAACTCGAAATATTTTGAGTACCTTCAGGGGATGGTGTTGGTGGCAAATTCTGAGTTGCATAATGTTACAGCAATGCATTTGTTAAGTATAGCATTTTACATCACAAAACTGTATTGAAGTCAATGGGAATTTCATGTTTTTATCTATTATAGCGCCACCAAGAGGCAAAATCCCACAATTTTTTTCATGTGTCCTCAGAATGAGCCCATACATGTGTGTGCCAAATTTGGTGAAAATATCTCAATTCACTTCGGAGTTATAGACATAAATATGAAAAAACACGTCAAAAATGACTGACACGTGACTTTGATTGAATTTTACTACCCCTTACTATCAATATTTTGGCATTGGTGTTTAGCCAGCGACCTATGTTTCCAAACTTCTGACAGTGGTTTCGTCTCGATCGGACTAACGGTTTTGAAGATATTGGCAAATGTTTTTTAAGCGCTAAATCACAACACTACACAAACCGTAAGTCGAAACTTAGCATGTTTGGTATCTGTGGACTCGGCAAGGATTCAGGAACCCAATGAGAAGACTTTCGTGAAAATAAGTCAACCATACCCAGAGTTATAAGCATTTGAAAAATAAATTTTACCACTAGGTGGCGCTATTTCGAAACTTCTCAGACTCCTTCAAGGCATCGTACTGATGACCCATAACGAGTTTCGTAACAATTCGTTCATGCGTTCAAAAAATACAGCCAAAATGGCTGATCTGGGAAAATTGGATATCAGTCGACTCGGCATGCATGACGTCCTGAATCTAACGAGACCACTTATGATTTTTGGACAAACCATTGATAAGTTATGAGCAAAAAGAGCCATTTTTCATATCTCCGGACCAGTAGGTGGCGCTGCGCCGAAACGCAGCATGTAGCCTCAGGTCATGCTTGTGATGACATGTACCAAGTTTGGCCTGAATACGATTAAGCGTTGCAGAGATCCAGCCTTACGTCTGTTTTCGCAAGCGCTACGTAAAATTAGTTTGTGCGTTTATCGAAAAAGCGAATCAACTTCAATTCCATAACTTTTGGTCAGCACTGCCTGGATATGATCTGGTGCAATTTTGGTAAAAATCGGACAAACCGTCTAGGACGAGTTCGCAAAGGTAGGTTTTTTGGACAATTCAAATTGGCGGCCATATTTTTAAGACGGAAAATTACGTCATAGGTGATCGAATCGTCATGAGCTCAGGAATAAGAGGAAAGAATATTTTTGTTGATAGCCCTTACGGTCCAAAAGTTATTAGCATAATATGAGTGAAACTTTGGACAGGTGGTGGCGCTAGAGGCAATGAGTTAGAGACACCAAAATTGGTATATTTAATGTTGGGACTGTCCTCTATCAGAATGTCAAACCAAAGAAGAAGAAGAAGAAACGGAAACGGAAGAATAATAAGAACCGGAACAGATACAATAGGTGCCTCCGCACCTTCGGTGCTTGGCCCCTAAAAATTCATTTACCAATCAATTTTTAGGTTTTCCATTCCCATTTAAAACAATGTATCTATACACATGTAATGAAAACAGAAGTGTAATAATGGGAGTAATAATTGGCAACATTTTCATAATGATAATAATATTTCATAGGAATATTGATGTACAATTTCTTTCCCCATTCACTTGTGTCTCCCAAAATGCCTGAGGTTGGATAAACATGATTTAAGTCCTGGTGTCCTAAACAGACATGTATGAAATCAATGCCCTGTTTTGTAACAGAAAGTCATATGGGCAGAAAGCTCATAACATTTTCCTGAGATGTTGATTTATGACAAACAATTTGAAGTTTAGTCAGATTTAAATGATGATTACAACATTTTATCATATTTCCATAGACTGTTTAAAAGCATTCCTTCTTTGTGTTCATAGAATACATTTATTCAAATAAGTATATTTAGATACAATAATCAACAATCAAATAAAAGGGGGGGGGGGGGGGGGGGGGGGGGGGTACAGGGGCAGGGCAGGGCAGGGCAGGGCGCATTCGGGACACCATGAGAGTTTCGAGATACGTACCGTGGGTGGTGCATCACGGTTTTTCAGTTCGGTTTGAATATCATTACACCCCTAATAAATCAAGATGACTTGTCTAGCCTTGACTTTTAAAAAAACAAAACAAAATTGACTTTTTAAAACAAAGCAAATGTGGCTGTGATGACTTGATGACTTCTTTCCAGTCTTGCAGTGTGTCTCATGTTCTTGCTCAGACGTCTACAGGCTCCAAGTTCCCTGTCAGGTTGCGGTTGGACTTCAGGCTTCGGTCAAGTCTCGAGCTCAAGCCTTCCACCAAGGACAGCATGTATATTCTTTCCTATTCAATACAAAAATTATATGAACAACTCAACTCATGAATGATTTTTTACCACAGAACTGAATTCTGTTTGCATCACTGATTCTGTTATTTTCCTGTTTATTACCATGAAGCTGCTTTGAAACAATCTGTATTGTATAAAGTGCTATATAAATAAAGGTTACTTGACTTGACTATAACAAGAACATTACAATGAACACAAATGTGAAAATCTCACTACAAATAATCTAGATTTTAAGAGAAAAGATAATAATCCTACTCTGTCTGTTACACTTCCTCACACCTGAAACTGATCGAGTGAATCTCCTGCACTTCTTCAATCTACAGTAGATCATTACTAATCCATTTATTTTGTAACATCTGCTCTAACGTCGGGCGTTTAGTTGGATCCCGGGCTAGGCACTGGCTAATCAGATCCCTGCACTCTGTACAAAGGAGAGAGCTGGTTAGTTGGCATCTATGAAAACAGCATTTAAAAAATGATTAACGTACTGTAAAAAGTTTCTTATCTTTAATACTTTAAAAGTGAAGTATGTAGTTTCTGCAACACTAGTGGCACTGAGTGGAATAAATGACAAAATAAAGCATATTTTCCAAAAACCTTGCAAAGGCCCCTTCCGAGCATCGCATCTTCCCCAACTTAAACATCACAAACACAGCTCTTACTGGTTCTTGTAAAGCATGTTTCAGGTCCAACATATTAGGGATACCTTTAGCTGTGTTGCATTTTGTCTTTATGAAAATGTGCCTTTCTGAACGGGTGCATGATGATGCTGTATGGCCTTGAAGCATGCTTTGTAGCGCGTAGCATCACAATGCTCTGTTCACTTTGACATGTTCATGACCTGTTTAATCTTTGAAAATGTAGCGAATTTTGGCTTTCACTTCTGTAACTAAAGCTGCATTTCTTTTCCCAGGGCTACAGTATCCACACCCAAAACTCTCTCTATACGTTGAGCTATATATAAAAAATATTACATACTTCACCTTTAACTGTTTCTGTACAAAGCCTTTGCTTTATGTGTGTGTTTATCAATATCATTCACTCACCTTTGGATAAATTGGAGTTCTGAAATGTAACTTTGGCTTGTGTGATTTCCGTTCTATTACAAAAAGGACGACATGCGTTCGACATCTTGTACAGCAACACTCCTAGAGCCCAGACATTTGCTGGGACGGCGTGGAATCGAGGTTCTGTCAAGACTTCAGGTGGGCAGTGGTCCTGTATTCCTGTAAGCAAGACATTTGCACATTGTTGAACTTTTTTTTAAAGCATCAAATAATTAGTAAGTCACTACATTCAGGTTTCCACGCTCCCAAAATGCTCACCAATGTATATGTTGCTCTCGTAGCCATCACTACTAAATAGCTGACCGCATCCAAAGTCTATCAGCTTGAGGTCAAACGAGTGTTTCTTCAACAGGAAATTCTCTGCATGAATGTCATTATGGAAAACACCATGCTCGATGCAGTGTTGCACTGCCAGCACAGCCTGTTGCATGATGACCCGTGCTGCTGGTTCATACAGTCGAGGATGAAGAGTGATGAAGTCCAGCAAGCTCTCGCAGGGTTCCGGGTACTCCATAACCAGAGTGAATGTTTTAGGATGTTCAAACCAGTCATACAGTTGTATGACGAAGGGGCTTATGGGTTCTCGCCTCATCATTAGCAGCAGCGCCACTTCAGTAACGAGAGGTTCAGGATGCCCAGGCTAGAGAAAAGTAGAAGACAGAAGGTTAGCTGCGTAAAAATCTGGAGAAAACATCATTTTTAAATGTACTTTTCTTTGATCTTTTTAGATACGTTCAAAAGAGCCTTTTCAGCTCAAAATTATTTAGTGCCTCTAGGTTTATTTGTCAGTATTTATTTGTATACAGTAATCTGCACTTAAACAGCTAAATATATATTTAGGTTTTAGGCAACTTACAATATTAAGACAACGATCATTGTCAATCTTACGCATCCGCTTGATGGCAACCTGCAAAAAAAAAAAAAAAAAAAAAATTAAGAACCTGACATTGCACTAAGTATTAATCCATCTGCAAATTGTTTTAAATATGTTTTGATGCATGCAAGAGCAAAATGTTTGTACAATTCGGTAAGATTTACCTTTTTGCCATCAAATTTGCGTGTTGCATTGTACACCCTGCCAAATCCTCCGGATCCAATAATCTTTCCCATGTTATAGAGAGACTCAAAGGACTCTGTAAAACAAACAGAAAAATATGAGAAAGATATTAGCTTCCTAGATCCATTGTTTTATTTAAAAAATATCAGCGCTGGTTGTGTCGAGAAAATAATAGTAAAATGGGAAACAAGCCTTTAGTGTTATTTTTTTGTGGAAAACTAGATGAAAATACTGTTTAAAAAACATACATTTCCAGGCTTCACTTGGCCAACTCAGGCACATGTGGCTCAGTTCTGATAATGGCAAAGATTATATGGGCCATATCTTAACATATATTTATATTATATTAAATATAACATATTGAAATAAACATTGATTTTATTAAATGCACAGCAATGTCTTATTTATGACATAACCGACTCTGTAATACTCTGCACGACAGCCATTTTGACCATTTTGAGTATATTTGACAATTCAAGCCTATTTGATCATATGCTGTCTGAGAAGCGGCTTTCTGTGTGTGTGTTTCAGGTGTGTGTCAGACAGCGCAAGTACCATCGACTTCATGCCTTATTGAGAAAGATTTGCTAACGTTCCCATTAAATTAAGAAAACGTTATTTCTAAATGTTCCCTAAACGTTCAAAACGTACAAAATATTTCCCAAATATTTCTTCTTTAAAGGAACATTCTATATTTTATAATTTTGCATATGAGAATGTTACTTTAAATGTTCTCCCAATGTCCTGAAAATGTTAGGCGAACGTCCAATTAAAATATTTCTAAAAAAATAAATAAAATAAAAAATCTAAGAGAAAATGTCAGCGCAATTTTGCTGAGCAACAGTAAATGTGACCGGACATTAACATGTTAAAAACTTGAAGCAATTATGCATGAAATAGCAAAACCTGTATTTTACACTGACCAGCCTTATTTCAGTCTCACCTGTTGAGCTCTTGTTCACTGGAGAATCCTCCATGGCACCCTGAGCAGTTCGGCCATTTGTCTCTGTCTCTGTTGGCTCGACAGGAACTTGACCTGGCAGTGGAGGGCACAGAAACCCTTCGAGGCTTTCGGACCTGGACAAACAGCAGTTGCTGCAACCGCTCTGTTCGTTTCGGCTATCCGAAATATCACCACTCCACCTCCATTCAACGATGTACGAGCCTCTGCTGCTAAGGCTTAACCACTCTCCACAGAACCTCCTCTCTACATTGTCCTTAGAGAGGGACAAAGATGATGGTGACGTGATTCCCGGTGAAGAATCTGTGGAAGCAGTTCTCAAGGATCTGGAGCGACCTGAGTTTGGAAAAGTTCAGATATTTAATTTTCTTCTCATTATTTTCATTATTATAATGTTGGAGAAATAATGGCGATATTTACCATTATTCGGCTTGACGCCGGAGGGATCTGGTGCAGGGGATGAAGGCTCAGGATCAGGCTTTGGCTCCAGATCTGGTGGAGGGACAAAAGGCTCCACAACATCCACAGCACAACTGTGGCAACAGCAGTGGAAATAACTCTTCGTAGCCTTCCATACCCTGTTGAGCAAAGAACCAGCTCCTTTCCTCTTCCTACATTCTGTAGGTTTTTCAGAAATGAAGAAAAACAAATGAAAACACAACTATTAAAAACAGAAATAGAAAATAATTTGCATTATGGGAATGTTAATTTTGAATGTCATCTGAATGTTCTGAAAATGTTACACAAATCTCCAATTAAAATATTTCTAATATTCTAATATTTTTTAATAATATTAATAATCAATGCCAGTAGTCACATCAAATTTTTACTTTACTTTTTTTCAACTCTCTATTTTAAATGGCAAATCAGTCAGAGATGGAAACTGAGCCATAACATCTTTATTAAAGCCTATTCTGACCTCTGCGAGAGCGTTTAGATGAAGTGGACGGACGTCCATCATCTGGCCTCTGCTGGCTGCCGCTCTGCCACGCTTTCTTCCTGTGAGCCTGACCTGTGGACACAGAAACAGAAAACTCAGAAGACAGAGGTGTTAAATCTCCAGGAAGCTCCTGGATCTGTGTCGGGTCTGGCAGCGGATCCTGATCACGGTCATCAGAACCGGGTCTCCAAATCTCCTGACCAGCCGTCTGAGAGAAAGCAGCTCTCCTGGATCTGGAGCGGCCTGAGGATGGAATATTTCAGACATCACATAGTTAGTAATGTTTTAATAATAATCCGTAATCAATGTCACTGGTCAATTACAAATTGTTACAATTGAAAAGTTTATTTCACATGCAAGGAATCCAATACATGTGATCACTTTGCTGGGAAAATGTAATCAAATGTTATACCTTGCACAATTGTCATCACATTAACGTATTCATTCATTGTACAACAACATCACCATAACATACCATAAACCAAAAAACTAAAAAGAAACTAAAGCCCTCACCTCCTCTTTCACCTATCATGTGAACCATGAACATCCTCCTCCAAACTGCAATAAAAAACAATACAACATACAATACAAAACAATACTCAGAAATACTCCTATCAAACTAATTAAATAATTAAAATAAATAACAAAACAAACAAAAAAATAATAATAAAACTACTTCTAAATAAGAAAAGAACAATAAAATAAAGGTAGCTATAATCAGAAATTATATGAAATCTTTAAAAAATGCAAATAAAGGATATATCCTCCGATGTCGTTGTAGAATAAAGTCTTCTCTCAGAAAATACTCTGAACAGCTTCAAAATCTCACAGAAAATAGTCTGGAAAAGTCTGAAAATTTGCCTCGTCTCTCAATCAACAGAAAGCGATCGGTTCGAGTGTAAATATGCAGTGAGAATTCATGACACGCGTTGCCATGGCAACTAAAATGCGCATCCATCATGTGAACGCACATTTTACAAAAAAATAATAAAAGGCTTTGCTATTTCACAAAATCTTAAATGTATTCATTAAGAAACAGTTTTAACAGCTTTTTTACGTGCTCTCCATAATAGTAACTATAGTTTTCTAATTCTTTCAATACCACAGAAAAAAAAAAAAGTTTATAAAGATTAATAATGTGCCTTATTTTCCAGACTCTTCTCATAATTATAAACAAAAAACAAATATGATTTTATAGCAAAGAAAAAAATGTACAATAATTTTTCATTTATAAGTTTGGAAACCATGACTTTGTATAGGCCTATTAACTGGAAGTGTTACATTTTGTAATCGCACATTAACAAAAATGAAAGACCACCAAGCTGATAAAAAAAAAAATTTAGACATCATATTCCACACAAGTCTACAATATCTATCTAAAGTCTACAATACTGCTTCAGCACGACATCATATAAGTGGAGCGTTTAGGTGTGAATAAATGAATATAACTGCAGCTCAGTGTGTCCATGATGAGATTTGTTGGAATGTACACTGGTTATTTAATTATTTTTAATCTATAGTTTTAATGACGAGTTCAAGATCAAACGCGTGCATATAAATAAATTAATAAAATAGTTAAATATATAAACAAACTGAAATAATAGCCTATATTCAGTCATTGGTTTTATTTTATTTATTTATTTATTTTTCCTTTACTCATCGTCACTCATGACTCATCGTTTCTGCAGCTCGGGACGTGTGTCAATCAGGTGTCGATGCGGTCCGTCATGTGTAGGGGTGCTGTTGCTGCCCTGGTGTCCTTCTTTAAAGGGAAACTTCACCTCTGGGAAGATGAATGTGTGTATTTAATATTGGTCATTTATATAGTAGAAATATTTTACAGATCAATAGTTTTTATTTTAAATTCTGCATCACCAGATTTCATTTTCATTTGTGACAATTTCTCTAAACTTCATCACAGGCCTACTAAGTTTAGTATAGGCTACTATTCGTATTCTTAATCTATAAACATAACTTTCCTTAATGTCGAAGTGATTCTTATGCATATCACCACCAGAGTTCATGTCAGCTTAAGAAGCTTACTCCTCATTGAAAATTGTCTAAAACATTTAGGTCGATTACAATGAATTATAGGCATATAAATAACTATTAACTGTCTATAATATGTCCGAACATTGCAATAATTAATCAATGAAAATTAAAAACTAGTTTATTTCAACATTGTTTAACAAATTGCGTTTATCGCAGGTGGCTTAGACGTGGGTAATATGGTTAATCCATTTTGTAACACGAACTGGAGGTAAGCAACAGTAATTTGTAGCTAGTTTGAACAACAGAGCTTAAAAGATCTCCCTCTTTTCGTTTTTATTTTTATTTTATTTTTGCTGCAGATGAAATGGTTAAACTTCTGTTTTCGCGCAGGCGCAGTGAGGGAAAAAACTATGAAGGTAAAATGATGCCTAAAAGAATCGCGTGCGCAGGGTAAGATTTGTGAAAGTGTACATAAGATTGCAAGCGTAAATTAAATTTGCGTGTGCAAGAGAAGATTTGTAAGCGTGTAAATCGCATATCAAGTGTAAGAAAAAAATATTTGCAGCATTTTACTGTTATTGGTAAGTGTAATACATGTATTGTGAAACTGCAGCTTCATGCTTTTAATAAATAGGATCTATATTCTTCTGACTTCCATTTTTCCACGCTTACACTTTTGGCACGGTTTTTGCGCACAAATGCGGCCAAAAGCATTGCAAGCCTGTGAACAGCTATTTGCAACCGAAAACAACAGAGTCAGGGACTGCAAAACAGATTGATCGTAAAATCAAACTTTGTGTAAATAAATAAACTGTTGCAAATGTCTAAATGTCTTATTGTGTACAAAGTTCCCGAAATAACCCGATTTGTACAGTTGCGTCTTTCTTTTACCTGCGCTTCCAATTTTGGCACGATTCTCTCACTGAATGAGTTTTGCAAGGCGAAGAGGAGGGCGGGTCCACCTTCATCGCTGTCACTCGATTTACTCTTATCTGATTGGTTCAATAAACACGTCAGTCTTCAGAACGCATATTTATCTTCATTTGGCTCAGCATCGTTCTCGTTACTTTTAATGCAAACATACATGTTGAATAAATACATAAATCATGATTGCTTAATAAGCTGTGCACCATTAGGCTGACTATATTAGTTAATACTGAATTCCGAGCGGTGTTATTGGATTTAAATGTTATATATTATAAGCCTATCTGTTACAACACTGAGCTGATGTTAAACTTTACAACAAACAAACAAACAAACAAACAAAAAGAAAACATTGAATACCCATTCTTTAATACCGAATAATACCATTCTGATGCAGTGTTTTTCACATCATGTCTCTGTTCATGGTATTTAACATATATTTTTAAATATTGTCTTAGTCACAATTCTGATTACTTTCGTGTGACTGATCAAGCTATTATGTTGCTAGATGTTGCTTTGTTTAAAACAAAGCAAATGTGGCTGTGATGACTTGATGACTTCTTTCCAGTCTTGCAGTGTCCCAGATAGCAATGAGTCGGCGGACCACCGTCGGTTCTCCGGCGGCAGTAGAAGCGTCAGAATGGCGACATCGCAAACACGTTGGACGGCGCACCGCCGGCGGCAGCCGCTTTTTAAAAGCGGCAGCCGCCTTCCTACCGCCTTCGTTAAGCGGCCGGCCCGCGGGCCAACCGCCGTTCCGCCGCGCTTTATATTGAAGGCCGTCCTTCCGCGGCCCGCCGGAGGCAAACGCTATTTTCGAGCGCTCTGCCGCCGCTTATTCTGGCTAGATATATATATATATATTTTATTTATAGCATGCAGTTTATCAAGAATAATGATTGCTCAAACCAGACAAATTTACAATTGGCATTTTTATTCCACGTTTCAAAGTACAGTAACTGTCATTTAAACAAGATGTTTCAGATCACTGAAACATAACAGAAAAATAAATAAATCAATATACTAACATGCAGGTTTCCAATTCAATTTTGGATTCAAAAGGCTGCAATTACAACACTTACAATAAGTTTTCATATAAAAAGGACAGCTCTAGGGTAACAAATTACCAGTAAACATTATGACAAGTAAAGAGGATATTTGATACCAAATAATGTGCAAGATACCAAATAAATAAAAGTATAACTACATTTACAAGCCATTTCTAACAATATGATAAGTGGTAGTAATTTATAGTAAAGCTCTGGAGTAGAATAGGCCATTATAACGGCAATGCTGACCTGTGGCACAAGGATTTACAAGCTTTATTTGAAAAAGAAAAAAAGAAAGTAATTTCCACAGTGAGTGAGTGTAGTCTGACACTTCTGACTTCTTTAGGGGTCTTGATTCTACTGACTGCAAGATAAAGAAAGGATTCCAGTTGTCAGTGATTCTGGGGTGTCAGTAGTCAGTCTAGTTTTAAGTGGTCGGCTGTGGGTCCCTCTCAGCTGTGCGGCGCCTTTTTCTGCCTTCACGGTCAGATGCTCCTTTCAGGTAACGTGTAACGTTAACCTGGACCGCCTCATCAGTGCATCCTGGGTTGCCGGGTCCTTCCGGATGGCTAATATAGAAAATACAGATCTGTCATTTAATTTGAATTGCATGAGGACAATAGGACATACACATCTACTTAAATAAATAAAAAATATCCAACTTACTTTGAACAATGGTCTTCAGGAACATGTCTCTAAAACATGCTTTATCCCCTACACCAAGCTGAAAATCCAAAAAAGTGTTACAAATTACATTTCTCTGAAGCTTCTCATAAATAAATAAAAAATGTGAAAGGCTAAGGATTCAGACTGTAATATATGCAGTATACAATCTTAAATTTTACTTTATATCTAGGTCTACTACATGTACAGGTAGCCCCAGTGGGAATTAAACCGACAACCACAGGTGCTGTTTGCAAGTTGTACCTAATTGCTCAGTGCAAGCAAACGTCTTCAACATTGTTTGTTGAACTTGCTTCACCTGCTCTTGAAGTAAGATTTTACAATTCGTATTTTTATATGTAATATTGTAGTGTTTATTATAAATGATTTATCTGTGCACTTCATTATTCTTTTAAAATTCATGTAGCCTTGTAATCTTTAATCAAATACGTTACCCTTCCCTCCCCCCTCGAAACGACTTCTCTTCCGGTCATGTGCTATGGCGCGAGGGCGTGGCAACTCTCCTCAAACAGTGCTATGAGCAGAGATGGAGAAGAGGAGCGCTAGAGTAAAACCCTGCCCTCCGTTCAATATACCGTTTCATTTTTAAATACGTCACAACACTGGAGAAAAGTCGTTTGTAACTTCCGGTTCATGCCGACTTCAAATAGAAGCAATAGTTTCCAAGACAAAAAAACTTCACAAATAACATCACTTACTTGTACTCAAACTCTTGGCTCTGTGAAGTGGAGTCTGGATTACTGGGGAGAAACCTGGTTGCGAGAAAGAGGAAACAGAAATTTGAAAATCTAACAAATGGTATAGTTTAGTGGCAGGATCACAAATCCAGCATAACAGCAATAGATTTTACATACCAGTTCAACATTTTCCTGGTTTTCTGGAATCGATGCATCTTTCTAGAGTTTTTTTTCTTGAGACTTCCAAGATTCTAGAGTAGGGAATAATGAATGAAAGAGTTATCCACAATAAACAGAAAATAAATTACACAGATGAAATACAGGAAAATCAAATACACAAGTCAGACCCATTTACCTGCTCCCTTCATGAACTTAAAATGATGTTTCTCCCAGGTGCTGTGTGGAGGTGTGCAGAGGATGGCTAAATTGTTGCCTTCGTCTTTTTGCTGAGGTTAAATGGGGGCCAATGGCACATGCTCTCGCTGAGCCACTCTTGCGGAACCACTGCAAATGGCAGATCCTCCTCGTTGATACACTGAACAATGTGAACCATCTAAAATAGAAGAACATTTTGCATAAATTATACTTTTTGATTAATTTCCAGGCAAAATCAATAACATTAAAATGCTCAACCCTTCAAAAAACGAGTCATTTTCACAAGTGGATCAACAGAAAACCATGTTCAGACAAACACAATCATATACATATACACACATATATACATATACACACATATATACATATATATATATACACACACACATACATCGTTATTTTTGTAAGAAAACACCAAAAGTTAAACTTTCTAGATGTAAAGCTTTCTTTCTAGATGTAAAGCTTTGGCGATCTACTGTAGCTAGATACATTTCAACATGTCGAACATGCTTGAATTCAGTGAGTAAAAAAGGCGAAGCAGCATGTGTTAGCTAACACTGTAAGTTAATCTAGACTAGCAGCATGGTTGTCGAATCAAACAAAACATCATTATGTTTAGTTAGAAAACAACACAAGTTATACTGATCAGTCTTTCTTGTTGTAAAGATTTTGCTAACGTTACCATTCCCACGTGGGCGGGAGAATTGTCCTTCAGGATTTGGTTACGTAAGTTAGTTAATTATTCGACTGACCAATACTATCTTAAACCACATACTGTAGTACTCACACTTGCATAAACATACGTAAATATAGTTAAAAGAAGAAAAGAAAAAACTAACGCCAGGAAGAAACTAAGTAACGTTAGCCTAACTAACGTTAGCTATGTCAGAAACATGACGAAAACTTTGTAAACAAGGCTAACTTACTAGCTTGACTAGTAAGGCAAGAACATATTTGAAAAAGCTGAACAAAAAATGAACATAATATTGCGTTACACAAAAAGGAAAAATGTACTTACTTTAAAGATCGTAGTCAATGACTAGATAGGATATCCTCTCCAAATACTGAAATCGTGTGACGAGTGGCCACTGTTGTGTTGGTAAATCTGCTTCCGTTTTTTAGGTACTGCCCCTCTCGGCCGGTGGAGGTACTTCTCTGTTTGTGCTTTAATACTTTCTTAAACATTTGTACAGATTGCAAAACTCGCAATTGCAAATTAATCCCTTACCTGTAAAAGGTAAAATAAAAATAAAAAAATCGAGCTTGTAAAAAAATGAAAGACATAAACGAAATTTCCTGGGGTGACAGAGAGACAAAATATTTCTAAATATTTCACTTTATCTTTCAGGTCAAAACAGGGATTTTCATGTTTATTATAAATATTACCATGGTTGCAAATTAATAAAAAAAATCTAAAGCATACCCAAGCTTTTGGCCAAGTTGCAGATGTCTTTCACTGTTCACTGATTTCAGGCATTGGTGAAAAGTCTAACTTCATCCATTTATTCTGCTAAATTGTTCATACCATGAATGAAATATTTATTTTAAAACCTAATCAGAATCAGAAAGATATTTATTGCCAAGTAAGTTTTACAAAAGGAATTCTTTTTGGACTATTTGTGCATCTCAATTGTGCATAAATCAAAGAAATGTAAAGAATTGTCACCTTAAGTGAATAAAATAATTCTATATATTTTACATAGGCCTATCACTGAATCGCTTCAGAGTTTCAACGTAATTTAAATGTATTTTCCTAAACCTTATCATGGAATCAGACTGAGTCAAATCTGTTATAAACCCTAATGACTTTGGAGCAACAACAATAACAAAATTTGATATAATTCACATAATAATTATAATCGCTTTAAATGTGAAAGTTAAAATGCTGTCAGTTCCACTCATGCCAATGACATGGCTGGTCGATTTCAATGCGGCTTGCCGCCAGCCGGCCGCGGTTCATTTAGACGGCGGCAACCGCCAGAGAGAATGAAGTCGGCGGCCCGGCGGCTGTTCGCCGGCGGCATCTCGCAAGAAATGGGAGTGACGTATTCGGCGGCAAACGTTTCATCTCCGCCAGCGGGGCGCACCTATAGCCGACAGTTTGGGGCCGGCGGCAAAAAGAAGCCGTGCCGATATTTTTTGCTATCTGGGCGTGTCTCATGTTCTTGCTCAGACGTCGACAGACACTGAGTTCCCTGTCAGGTTGCGGTTGGACTTCAGGCTTCGGTCAAGTCTCGAGCTCAAGCCTTCCACCAAGGACAGCATGTATATTCTTTCCTATTCAATACAAAAATTATATGAACAACTCAACTCATGAATGATTTTTTACCACAGAACTGAATTCTGTTTGCATCACTGATTCTGTTATTTTCCTGTTTATTACCATGAAGCTGCTTTGAAACAATCTGTATTGTATAAAGTGCTATATAAATAAAGGTGACTTGACTATAACAAGAACATTACAATGAACACAAATGTGAAAATCTCACTACAAAAAATCTAGATTTTAAGAGAAAAGATAATAATCCTACTCTGTCTGTTACACTTCCTCACACCTGAAACTGATCGAGTGAATCTCCTGCACTTCTTCAATCTACAGTAGATCATTACTAATCCATTTATGTTGTAACATCTGCTCTAACGTCGGGCGTTTAGTTGGATCCCGGGCTAGGCACTGGCTAATCAGATCCCTGCACTCTGTACAAAGGAGAGAGCTGGTTAGTTGGCATCTATGAAAACAGCATTTAAAAAATGATTAACGTACTGTAAAAAGTTTCTTATCTTTAATACTTTAAAAGTGAAGTATGTAGTTTCTGCAACACTAGTGGCACTGAGTGGAATAAATGACAAAATAAAGCATATTTTCCAAAAACCTTGCAAAGGCCCCTTCCGAGCATCGCATCTTCCCCAACTTAAACATCACAAACACAGCTCTTACTGGTTCTTGTAAAGCATGTTTCAGGTCCAACATATTAGGGATACCTTTAGCTGTGTTGCATTTTGTCTTTATGAAAATGTGCCTTTCTGAACGGGTGCATGATGATGCTGTATGGCCTTGAAGCATGCTTTGTAGCGCGTAGCATCACAATGCTCTGTTCACTTTGACATGTTCATGACCTGTTTAATCTTTGAAAATGTAGCGAATTTTGGCTTTCACTTCTGTAACTAAAGCTGCATTTCTTTTCCCAGGGCTACAGTATCCACACCCAAAACTCTCTCTATACGTTGAGCTATATATAAAAAATATTACATACTTCACCTTTAACTGTTTCTGTACAAAGCCTTTGCTTTATGTGTGTGTTTATCAATATCATTCACTCACCTTTGGATAAGTTGGAGTTCTGAAATGTAACTTTGGCGTGTGTGATTTCCGTTCTATTACAAAAAGGACGACATGCGTTCGACATCTTGTACAGCAACACTCCTAGAGCCCAGACATTTGCTGGGACGGCGTGGAATCGAGGTTCTGTCAAGACTTCAGGTGGGCAGTGGTCCTGTATTCCTGTAAGCAAGACATTTGCACATTGTTGAACTTTTTTTTAAAGCATCAAATAATTAGTAAGTCACTACATTCAGGTTTCCACGCTCCCAAAATGCTCACCAATGTATATGTTGCTCTCGTAGCCATCACTACTAAATAGCTGACCGCATCCAAAGTCTATCAGCTTGAGGTCAAACGAGTGTTTCTTCAACAGGAAATTCTCTGCATGAATGTCATTATGGAAAACACCATGCTCGATGCAGTGTTGCACTGCCAGCACAGCCTGTTGCATGATGACCCGTGCTGCTGGTTCATACAGTCGAGGATGAAGAGTGATGAAGTCCAGCAAGCTCTCGCAGGGTTCCGGGTACTCCATAACCAGAGTGAATGTTTTAGGATGTTCAAACCAGTCGTACAGTTGTATGACGAAGGGGCTTATGGGTTCTCGCCTCATCATTAGCAGCAGCGCCACTTCAGTAACGAGAGGTTCGGGATGCCCAGGCTAGAGAAAAGTAGAAGACAGAAGGTTAGCTGCGTAAAAATCTGGAGAATTTTAATGTACTTTTCTTTGATCTTTTTAGAAACGTTCAAAAGAGTCTTTTCAGCTCAAACTTATTTAGTGCCTCTAGGTTTATTTGTTGGTATTTATTTGTATACAGTAATCTGCACTTAAACAGCTAAATACATATTCAGGTTTTAGGCAACTTACAATATTAAGACAACGATCATTGTCAATCTTACGCATCCGCTTGATGGCAACCTGCAAAAAAATAAAAATAAAATTAAGAACCTGACATTGCACTAAGTATTAATCCATCTGTAAATTGATTTAAATATGTTTTGATGCATGCAAGAGCAAAATGTTTGTACAATTCGGTAAGATTTACCTTTTTGCCATCAAATTTGCGTGTTGCATTGTACACCCTGCCAAATCCTCCGGATCCAATCATCTTTCCCATGTTATAGAGAGACTCAAAGGACTCTGTAAAACAAACAGAAAAATATGAGAAACATATTAGCTTGCTAGATCCATTGTTTTATTTAAAAAATATCAGCGCTGGTTGTGTCGAGAAAATAATGGTAAAATGGGAAACAAGCCTTTAGTGTTATTTTTTTGTGGAAAACTAGATGAAAATACTGTTTAAAAAACATACATTTCCAGGCTTCACTTGGCCAACTCAGGCACATGTGGCTCAGTTCTGATAATGGCAAAGATTATATGGGCCATATCTTAAAATATATTTATATTATATATGACATATTGAAATAAACATTGATTTTATTAAATGCACAGCAATGTCTTATTTATGACATAACCGACTCTGTAATACCTGGCACGACAGCCATTTTGACAATTTTGAGTATATTTGACAATTCAAGTCGCAAAACAGAATTCCTCTTTGATCATATGCTGTCTGAGAAGCGGCTTTCTGTGTGTGTGTTTCAGGTGTGTGTCAGACAGCGCAAGTACCATCGACTTCATGCCTTATTGAGAAAGATTTGCTAACGTTCCCATTAAATTAAGAAAACGTTATTTCTAAATGTTCCCTAAAGGTTCAAAACGTACAAAATATTTCCCAAATATTTCTGCTTTAAAGGAACATTCTATATTTTATAATTTTGCATATGAGAATGTTACTTTAAATGTTCTCCCAATGTCCTGAAAATGTTAGGCGAACGTCCAATTAAAATATTTCTAAAAAAATAAATAAAATAAAAAATCTGAAAGAAAATGTCAGCGCAATTTTGCTGAGCAACAGTAAATGTGACCGGACATTAACATGTTAAAAACTTGAAGCAATTATGCATGAAATAGCAAAACCTGTATTTTACACTGACCAGCCTTATTTCAGTCTCACCTGTTGAGCTCTTGTTCACTGGAGAATCCTCCATGGCACCCTGAGCAGTTCGGACGTTTGTCTCTGTCTCTGTTGGCTCGACAGGAACTTGACCTGGCAGTGGAGGGCACAGAAACCCTTCGAGGCTTTCGGACCTGGACAAACAGCAGTTGCTGCAACCGCTCTGTTCGTTTCGGCTATCCGAAATATCACCACTCCACCTCCATTCAACGATGTACGAGCCTCTGCTGCTAAGGCTTAACCACTCTCCACAGAACCTCCTCTCTACATTGTCCTTAGAGAGGGACAAAGATGATGGTGACGTGATTCCCGGTGAAGAATCTGTGGAAGCAGTTCTCAAGGATCTGGAGCGACCTGAGTTTGGAAAAGTTCAGATATTTAATTTTCTTCTCATTATTTTCATTATTATAATGTTGTAGAAATAATGGCGATATTTACCATTATTCGGCTTGACGCCGGAGGGATCTGGTGCAGGGGATGAAGGCTCAGGATCAGGCTTTGGCTCCAGATCTGGTGGAGGGACAAAAGGCTCCACAACATCCACAGCACAACTGTGGCAACAGCAGTGGAAATAACTCTTCGTAGCCTTCCATACCCTGTTGAGCAAAGAACCAGCTCCTTTCCTCTTCCTACATTCTGTAGGTTTTTCAGAAATGAAGAAAAACAAATGAAAACACAACTATTAGAAACAGAAATAGAAAATAATTTGCATTATGGGAATGTTAATTTTGAATGTCATCTGAATGTTCTGAAAATGTTACACAAATCTCCGATTAAAATATTTCTAATATTCTACTTTAAAAAAAAATAATATTAATAATCAATAACAGTAGTCACATCAAATTTTTACTTTACTTTTTTTCAACTCTATATTTTAAATGGCAAATCAGTCAGAGATGGAAACTGAGCCATAACATCTTTATTAAAGCCTATTCTGACCTCTGCGAGAGCGTTTAGATGAAGTGGACGGACGTCCATCATCTGGCCTCTGCTGGCTGCCGCTCTGCCACGCTTTCTTCCTGTGAGCCTGACCTGTGGACACAGAAACAGAAAACTCAGAAGACAGAGGTGTTAAATCTCCAGGAAGCTCCTGGATCTGTGTCGGGTCTGGCAGCGGATCCTGATCACGGTCATCAGAACCGGGTCTCCAAATCTCCTGACCAGCCGTCTGAGAGAAAGCAGCTCTCCTGGATCTGGAGCGGCCTGAGGATGGAATATTTCAGACATCACATAGTTAGTAATGTTTTAATAATAATCCGTAATCAATGTCACTGGTCAATTACAAATTGTTACAATTGAAAAGTTTATTTCACATGCACGGAATCCAATACATGTGATCACTTTGCTGGGAAAATGTAATCAAATGTTATACCTTGCACAATTTTCATCACATTAACGTATTCATTCATTGTACAACATCACCATAACATACATAAACCAAAAAACTAAAAAGAAACTAAAGCCCTCACCTCCTCTTTCACCTATCATGTGAACCATGAACATCCCCCTCCAAACTGCAATAAAAAACAATACAACATACAATACAAAACAATCAGAAATACTCCTATCAAACGAATTAAATAATTAAAATAAATAACAAAACAAAACAATTTTTTTTTAATAAAACTACTTCTAAATAAGAAAAGAACAATAAAATAAAGGTAGCTATAATCAGAAATTATATGAAATATTTCAAAAATGCAAATAAAGGATATATCCTCCGATGTCGTTGTAGAATAAAGTCTTCTCTCAGAAAATACTCTGAACAGCTTCAAAATCTCACAGAAAATAGTCTGGAAAAGTCTGAAAATTTGCCTCGTCTCTCAATCAACAGAAAGCGATCGGTTCGAGTGTAAATATGCAGTGAGAATTCATAACACGCGTTGTCATGGCAACTAAAATGCGCATCCATCATGTGAACATGTGAACGCACATTTTACAAAAAAATAATTAAAGGCTTTGCTATTTCACAAAATCTTAAATGTTTTAATTAAGAAACAGTTTTAACAGCTTTTTTATGTGCTCTCCATAATAGTTACTATAGTTTTCTAATTCTTTCAATACCACAGAAAAAAAATAAGTTTATAAAGAATAATAATGTGCGTTATTTTCCAGACTCTTCTCATAATTATAAACAAAAAAACAAATATGATTTTATAGCGAAGAAAAAATGCACAATAATTTTTCATTTATAAGTTTGGAAACCATGACTTCTTTGTATATTAACTGGTTCGTGTTACATTTTGTAATCGCACATTAACAAAAATGAAAGACCACCAAGCTGATAAAAAAAAATATGTAGACATCATATTCCACACAAGTCTACAATATCTATCTAAAGTCTACAATACTGCTTCAGCACGACATCATAAGTGGAGCGTTTAGGTGTGAATAAATGAATATAACTGCAGCTCAGTGTGTCCATGATGAGATTTTTTGGAATGTACACTATTTAATTAATTTTAATCCATAGTTTTAATGACGAGTTCAAGATCAAACGCGTGCATATAAATACATTAATAAAAATAGTTAAATAAATAAACAAACTGTACTAATAGCCTATATTCAGTCATCGGTTTTATTTTATTTATTTATTTTATTTTTCCTTAGTTACTCATCATCGCTCATGACTGTCATGTGTAGGGGTGCTGTTGCTGCCCTGGTGTCCTTCTTTAAAGGGAAACTTCACCTCTGGGAAGATGAATGTGTGTATTTAATATTGGTCATTTATATAGTAGAAATATTTTACATATCAATAGTTTTTATTTTAAATTCTGCATCACCAGATTTAATTTTCATTTGTGACAATTTCTCTAAACTTTATCACAGTAGGCCTACTAAGTTTAGTATAGGCTACTATTCGTATTCTTAACCTACAAACATAACTTTCCTTAATGTCGAAGTGATTCTTATGCATATCACCACCAGAGTTCATGTCACATATACAAAAATATTAAATAGAAGCTTATTCCTCATTGAAAATGGTCTAAAACATTTAGGTCGATTACAATGAATTATAGGCATATAAATAACTATTAACAGTCTATAATATGTCCGAACATTGCAATAATTAATTAATGAAAATTAAAAACTAGTTTATTTCAACATTGTTTAACAAATTGCGTTTATCGCAGGTGGCTTAGACGTGGGTAATATGGTTAATCCATTTTGTAACACGAACTGGAGGTAAGCAACAGTAATTTGTAGCTAGTTTGAACAACAGAGCTTAAAAGATCTCCCTCTTTTCGTTTTTATTTTTATTTTATTTTTGCTGCAGATGAAATGGTTAAACTTCTGTTTCGCGCAGGCGCAGTGAGGGAAAAAACTATGAAGGTAAAATGATGCCTAAAAGAATCGCGTGCGCAGGGTAAGATTTGTGAAAGTGTACATAAGATTGCAAGCGTAAATTAAATTTGCGTGTGCAAGAGAAGATTTGTAAGCGTGTAAATCGCATATCAAGTGTAAGAAAAAAATATTTGCAGCATTTTACTGTTATTGGTAAGTGTAATACATGTATTGTGAAACTGCAGCTTCATGCTTTTAATAAATAGGATCTATATTCTTCTGACTTCCATTTTTCCACGCTTACACTTTTGGCACGGTTTTTGCGCACAAATGCGGCCAAAAGCATTGCAAGCCTGTGAACAGCTATTTGCAACCGAAAACAAGAGTCAGGGACTGCAAAACAGATTGATCGTAAAATCAAACTTTGTGTAAATAAATAAACTGTTGCAAATGTCTAAATGTCTTATTGTGTACAAAGTTCCCGAAATAACCCGATTTGTACAGTTGCGTCTTTCTTTTATCTGCGCTGCCTTCCAATTTTGGCACGATTCTCTCACTGAATGAGTTCCCTTTCGAGGGACTCGAACTGCGTCGGTGACGACACTAGAGGAACGCCCTTCAGCGTAGCGCGTCTGAATTTATGAATGAAACCGAATCCAATCCTATTGGCGTTGTGTGATGACGTAGCGTGTGACGGCATACACGGATGTGTACAAAGGCACGCCGGCACAAGCAAAGTCAGCTTTTTTGCTATTCAGCAAGCGCTCTGTGTATTTGTGAGTCTTATTTGGTGTCGTTTGTCTGCTTTGAAAAACTTCAGTATGGCTGATCAGTTCAGAAAGTGTGTGTTCCCGTGCCCTCGTTTTCTCCCGGCTGGGGATTCACATGAGATGTGTGTGTCATGTTTGGGAAGACAGCACGCTCAAGCAGCTCTTGAGGGGGCTGCTTGCGCTCATTGCGAGTCTCTTTCTGTGAGAGTGCTGCGATCTCGACTGGCTTTATTTTCGGAGGATGGCCAATTGCGTTCTCTCCGCGGTTCGGGTCCCGCATCTGCCGAGGCAATGCGGCGGCTTTCATCGTGGGGATCGCAGAGAGATCTGGTCGAGGATGAGACTGCCGAGGCATATTCTCGCTCCTCTTCTGGTGAGTCTGATTCCCCCATTCCCCGTTCGGGAGCCCGCTCCGCGGCTTCTCCCGATCGGGAGGATGTTCCTGCTTTACAGCTGTCTAATTCCGAGGAATTATACATACTAAGTGTTGGGGATGAGGATCATATTGACACGCACCACTCTGTTCAGCCGGCACCAAATTATATTGAGTTGGTGGAGGTTTTGACGCGGGCTGTGGCCAAGCTGGATATTTCTTGGCCACAAGAGCGGCAGGAAGCGCGTGCAAAGAGTAAACTCGATGAACGCTTCCTGCAGCACCGCACGCAGCCTTCACGCCGGTCTCTCCCTTTCTTCCCGGATTTACACAATGAGTTGTGTAAATCCTGGAACAGGCCATTTTCATCACGCCTGTCTAATCCTCCAATGTTAAACTACAGTAATGTTGTGGGGGTTAGAGATAAGGGATACGGGATGATGCCTCGGGTTGAGGAGGCACTAGCCAGCTACCTTTCACCCGACCTTGCATCATCCCTGAAGTCGCCGGCGTTGCCTTCTAAACCTTGCCGCACCACATCCGATTTGGTGGGCAGGGCATATATGGCGGCGGGTCGAGCTGGTGCGAGCCTGTAGCCCTGCACACAATGGCCATATTGCAGGCGTACCAAGCCGACCTTTTAAGAGATATCGACCAGGGCGAGGGTCCATCTCCGGATGATATCGCTGAACTTCGCAGAGCCACAGACTTGTCTCTCCGGGTTACCAAGGAGACGGCCCGTGCCATCGGTCGCTCCATGTCGGCCCTGGTGACCACGGAGAGACATCTGTGGCTCAACCTGTCGGGCATGAAGGAGAAGGATAGGACCTTCCTTCTTGATGCACCCGTTTCAGCCTCAGGTCTATTTGGTGAGGCTGTTAGCGCGGTGGTGGACAGGTTTGAGGATGCTAAGAAGCAGGGCGAAGCCTTCAAGCGGTATCTCCCTCGCCGTTCAAGGTCTAGGAGGGCTGCTGCTAAAGAACAGCCACAGCAATCCTCCTCTTCCTCTTACCGCCAGGCACAGAAGGCGAGTGTCGCTTCCAGAGCTCCCCCTCGTAGATCTTGGGACTCTGGTCGACGCTCACACCCTCAGCCTCCTGATAAGACGGATCTGAGGACCGTCATCCAGTATAGGAAGGCTAAGGGAAAGAGGTCCTAACTCCTTTGAGGCCTCAGAGGGCCGCCCCCCTCCGAGAGAGAGCGACCGAGGTCCCCTCTCTCGTTGGGCCCTCAGGGAGTTGGCGTCAGTATCCCGCCGTCTCTGACGCTTCGGGACACGCTAGCTCCCAGCGAGCTCACACTGGTTGGCCTGCCCCAAAGGCTTGCAGGCAGTCAGTGTTCGGGTTCGCACAATGTAGGGCGTTGTCGGTTTTCCCCTGCCGGTCCTCCGCTTCAGGGCACCGTCAACATCCTGCACAAAACACTGGACACCAGCCCCGAGGGGCTGGTTCCTTTGGTGAATTTCGCAGAGGCATGGCAAAACCTCGCGAACATTTCTCCATGGGTCCTGCGCACTGTAAGAACTGGGTACAGACTGCAGTTCCAGGTCCGCCCACCAAAATTCAACGGGGTGGTCTGGACTTCAGTGCACCCAGAGCAGGGTCTAGTGTTGGAACAGGAAGTTCACTCGCTGCTGGAAAAAGGGGCCATAGAGCATGTTCCCCCACCAGTCAGGGAGTCCGGGTTCTACAGCCGGTACTTCATAGTTCCCAAGAAGGATGGAGGGTTGCGTCCAATTTTAGATCTAAGGCACTTGAACCGGTCTCTGAGGAGATTCAGGTTCAAGATGCTCACCATTCCCATCATCGTGAGTCAAATCCAATCCGAGGATTGGTTTGTCACGATAGATCTAAAAGACGCTTATTTTCACATCTCCATTCTTGCATCTCACAGGAAGTTCCTGAGGTTTGCTTTCGGGGGCAAAGCTTACCAATATCGGGTTCTTCCATTCGGCCTAGCACTCTCCCCTCGCACTTTTACCAAGTGTATGGATGCAGCTCTAGCACCCCTGAGGCTCGAGGGCATCAGGGTGCTCAATTACATCGACGACTGGCTGATACTGGCGCAGTCGCAAGAGCTGGCGATTCGGCATCGAGATGTCGTCCTCGCCCACATCCAAAGCCTGGGGCTGAGACTCAACACAAAAAAAAGTGTGTTGGCACCAGCCCAGAGAACCCTGTTCCTGGGAGTGGTGTGGGACTCAGTCACGATGCGGGCACGATTGTCTCCTGCTCGGATCGAGTCCGTCCTGACTTCAGTGTCCAGGATAAAGCTAGGCCAAGCCATCACTGTCAAACACTTTCAGAGAGTGTTGGGTCTCATCTCATGCTACACATGAGAGCTCTACAGTGGTGGTTAAGAGCCAAGGGGTTTTCCCCGAGGGGAAGTCCATTCCGCTTGATAAGGGTTTCGCGCAGATGCCTTCGTTCCCTATCAATTTGGAAGAAGCCTTGGTTCTTGTCCCAGGGTCCCAGGCTGGGAGCGTCATGTTGCCGGATATCCATTTCAACAGACGCCTCCCTCACGGGCTGGGGCGCGGTCATGGACGGCCGCTTTACGAGAGGTCTCTGGCAGGTCCATCATTTCTCTTGGCACATAAATTGCCTAGAAATGTTGGCGGTGGTCCGGGCTCTGAGGAGTTTTCTGCCGGACCTCCATGGTCGCCATGTCCTAGTAATATCCGACAACATGTCGGTGGTTTCTTACCTAAATCGTCAGGGGGGTCTGAGGTCGCGCCCTCTGTGCAGACTGGCCAACAGATCCTCCTGTGGTCCCAGCGGAGACTGTCGTCTCTCAGGGCGATGTATGTCCCGGGGGACCAGAACCAGGGAGCAGACGTACTGTCGAGGCAGGGGCTGAGGCCCGGGGAATGGAGACTCCACCCCGAGACGGTGGAGTTGATATGCGAGAGGTTTGGCCCAGTGGAAGTGGACCTATTTGCGTCTCGAGAGACGACACACTGTCCACTGTGGTTCTCCCTCACACATCCAGCCCCGCTGGGGTTGGATGCCATCGTGCAGACGTGGCCGAGGCTGCGTCTGTACGCCTTTCCCCCAATCGCTCTGCTCCCAGCAGTTCTGGAAAGGGTCCGTCGGGACGGGGTCAGCCTACTATTGGTGGCCCCGTTTTGGCCGGCCCGAGTATGGTTTTCGGACATTATCCTGCTTCTGGCAGGCCCGCCATGGCAGATCCCTCTGAGGAGGGACCTGTTGTCTCAGGCGGGGGGCTCAGTTCTCCACCCTCGGCCCGAGCTGTGGAAACTGTGGGTCTGGCCCCTGAGGGGGCACAGTACCTAGAAGCCGGCCTGTCAGCAGAAGTAGTTGAGACTATACTAACTTCCAGAGCTCCCTCCACGAGGAAGTTATACGGCCTTAAGTGGAATGTATTTTCCATTTGGTGCAGAGAGCATGATTTGGACCCAGTTAACTGCCCAGTGGCTTCAGTACTGGAGTTTCTCCAAGACCGCTTTTCTGCCGGGCTTACCCCGTCCACACTCAAGGTTTATGTGGCTGCCATTGCGGCTTTCCACGCTCCTCTGGGTGATGGTCCTCTGGGGAGGCATCACCTGGTCGTACGCTTCCTCCGTGGAACCTGGAGGATGAGACCTGCGACTCTTGGGACCTGGCAGTGGTGCTCGAAGGGCTGGCCGAGGCCCCCTTCGAACCATTGGAGTCGGCTGAGGCCAAGAACCTTTCATTTAAGGTGGTCTTCTTGTTGGCTATTACTTCTCTGAGGAGGGTAGGAGATCTCCAGGCGCTCTCTATTTCCAATGAGTGCTTGGAGTTTGCTCCCGGCAACATTAAGGCCATCCTTCACCCCAGGCCTGGCTATTTGCCCAAGGTGCCATCTAATGTGGCACGGCCTTTGGTTCTGCAGGCATTTCATCCTCCGCCTCATGTGACGGCGGATGAGGAGAGACTTCATCTGCTCTGCCCTGTCAGAGCACTTCAGTATTACATCCAGAAGTCCTCCTCATGGCGGAAGTCGGACCAGTTGCTGGTGTGTTTTGGGTCTCCCAAGAAGGGGCTTCCCGCCTCTAAGCAGACCATCAGCAACTGGATCGTTCAGACTATTTCCCTGGCCTATCAGGTGCGCAATTTGCCTTCACCTATGGCCGTGAGGGCTCACTCCACCAGAGGCATGGTGTCCTCTAGAGCCCTCCTTTCAGGGGTTTCCATACATGATATTTGTGAGGCGGCTGGCTGGGCCACTCCGCACACATTCATGAGGTTTTACAGTCTGGACCTTCCCTCTACACCCGGTGCACGAGTGCTTTCGTCCTAGGTTGTGCCTGAAGTCAGTTTCACACTAGGATGAGCAGGGTTCGTTGTGGTATAGTGGGTATCTCGTTCCCCTAGTGTCGTCACCGACGCAGTTCGAGTCCCTCGAAAGGGAACGTCTCGGGTTACGTATGTAACCCTTGTTCCCTGAGAAAGGGAACGAGACACTGCACAAGAGCTGACTTTGCTTGTGCCGGCGTGCCTTTGTACACATCCGTGTATGCCGTCACACGCTACGTCATCATGCAACGCCAATAGGATTGGATTCGGTTTCATTCATAAATTCAGACGCGCTACGCTGAAGGGCGTTCCCCTAGTGTCGTCACCGACGCAGTGTCTCGTTCCCTTTCTCAGGGAACAAGGGTTACATACGTAAGCCGAGACGTTTTGCAAGGCGAAGAGGAGGGCGGGTCCACCTTCATCATGCAGCCAATCAGATGAGCTTCTCGCTGTCACTCGATTTACTCTTATCTGATTGGTTCAATAAACACGTCAGTCTTCAGAACGCATATTTATCTTCATTTGGCTCAGCATCGTTCTCGTTACTTTTAATGCAAACATACATGTTGAATAAATACATAAATCATGATTGCTTAATAAGCTGTGCACCATTAGGCTGACTATATTAGTTAATACTGAATTCCGAGCGGTGTTATTGGATTTAAATTTTATATATTATAAGCCTATCTGTTACACCACTGAGCTGATGTTAAACTTTACAACAAACAAACAAACAAACAAACAAAAAGAAAACATTGAATACCAATTCTTTAATACCGAATAATACCATTCTGATGCAGTGTTTTTCACATCATGTCTCTGTTCATGGTATTTAACATATATTTTTAAATATTGTCTTAGTCACAATTCTGATTACTTTCGTGTGACTGATCAAGCTATTATGTTGCTAGATGTTGCTTTGTTTAAAACAAAGCAAATGTGGCTGTGATGACTTGATGACTTCTTTCCAGTCTTGCAGTGTGTCTCATGTTCTTGCTCAGACGTCGACAGGCTCTGAGTTCCCTGTCAGGTTGCGGTTGGACTTCAGGCTTCGGTCAAGTCTCGAGCTCAAGCCTTCCACCAAGGACAGCATGTATATTCTTTCCTATTCAATACAAAAATTATATGAACAACTCAACTCATGAATGATTTTTTACCACAGAACTGAATTCTGTTTGCATCACTGATTCTGTTATTTTCCTGTTTATTACCATGAAGCTGCTTTGAAACAATCTGTATTGTATAAAGTGCTATATAAATAAAGGTGACTTGACTTGACTATAACAAGAACATTACAATGAACACAAATGTGAAAATCTCACTACAAATAATCTAGATTTTAAGAGAAAAGATAATAATCCTACTCTGTCTGTTACACTTCCTCACACCTGAAACTGATCGAGTGAATCTCCTGCACTTCTTCAATCTACAGTAGATCATTACTAATCCATTTATGTTGTAACATCTGCTCTAACGTCGGGCGTTTAGTTGGATCCCGGGCTAGGCACTGGCTAATCAGATCCCTGCACTCTGTACAAAGGAGAGAGCTGGTTAGTTGGCATCTATGAAAACAGCATTTAAAAAATGATTAACGTACTGTAAAAAGTTTCTTATCTTTAATACTTTAAAAGTGAAGTATGTAGTTTCTGCAACACTAGTGGCACTGAGTGGAATAAATGACAAAATAAAGCATATTTTCCAAAAACCTTGCAAAGGCCCCTTCCGAGCATCGCATCTTCCCCAACTTAAACATCACAAACACAGCTCTTACTGGTTCTTGTAAAGCATGTTTCAGGTCCAACATATTAGGGATACCTTTAGCTGTGTTGCATTTTGTCTTTATGAAAATGTGCCTTTCTGAACGGGTGCATGATGATGCTGTATGGCCTTGAAGCATGCTTTGTAGCGCGTAGCATCACAATGCTCTGTTCACTTTGACATGTTCATGACCTGTTTAATCTTTGAAAATGTAGCGAATTTTGGCTTTCACTTCTGTAACTAAAGCTGCATTTCTTTTCCCAGGGCTACAGTATCCACACCCAAAACTCTCTCTATACGTTGAGCTATATATAAAAAATATTACATACTTCACCTTTAACTGTTTCTGTACAAAGCCTTTGCTTTATGTGTGTGTTTATCAATATCATTCACTCACCTTTGGATAAGTTGGAGTTCTGAAATGTAACTTTGGCGTGTGTGATTTCCGTTCTATTACAAAAAGGACGACATGCGTTCGACATCTTGTACAGCAACACTCCTAGAGCCCAGACATTTGCTGGGACGGCGTGGAATCGAGGTTCTGTCAAGACTTCAGGTGGGCAGTGGTCCTGTATTCCTGTAAGCAAGACATTTGCACATTGTTGAACTTTTTTTTAAAGCATCAAATAATTAGTAAGTCACTACATTCAGGTTTCCACGCTCCCAAAATGCTCACCAATGTATATGTTGCTCTCGTAGCCATCACTACTAAATAGCTGACCGCATCCAAAGTCTATCAGCTTGAGGTCAAACGAGTGTTTCTTCAACAGGAAATTCTCTGCATGAATGTCATTATGGAAAACACCATGCTCGATGCAGTGTTGCACTGCCAGCACAGCCTGTTGCATGATGACCCGTGCTGCTGGTTCATACAGTCGAGGATGAAGAGTGATGAAGTCCAGCAAGCTCTCGCAGGGTTCCGGGTACTCCATAACCAGAGTGAATGTTTTAGGATGTTCAAACCAGTCGTACAGTTGTATGACGAAGGGGCTTATGGGTTCTCGCCTCATCATTAGCAGCAGCGCCACTTCAGTAACGAGAGGTTCGGGATGCCCAGGCTAGAGAAAAGTAGAAGACAGAAGGTTAGCTGCGTAAAAATCTGGAGAATTTTAATGTACTTTTCTTTGATCTTTTTAGAAACGTTCAAAAGAGCCTTTTCAGCTCAAAATTATTTAGTGCCTCTAGGTTTATTTGTCAGTATTTATTTGTATACAGTAATCTGCACTTAAACAGCTAAATACATATTCAGGTTTTAGGCAACTTACAATATTAAGATAACGATCATTGTCAATCTTACGCATCCGCTTGATGGCAACCTGCAAAAAAATAAATAAATAATAAGTTGGTGAGATGGAAACGGACTTTTGACTTGAGCTCGGCGACTTCTAAGGGCCCCCACCCTGGGTACTCGGTACCCTTTTTCCCCCCGCTACCACGCCCCTGACCATCTGTAAATTGTTTTAAATATGTTTTGCAAGAGCAAAATGTTTGTACAATTCGGTAAGATGTACCTTTTTGCCATCAAATTTGCGTGTTGCATTGTACACCCTGCCAAATCCTCCGGATCCAATCATCTTTCCCATGTTATAGAGAGACTCAAAGGACTCTGTAAAACAAACAGAAAAATATGAGAAACATATTAGCTTGCTAGATCCATTGTTTTATTTAAAAAATATCAGCGCTGGTTGTGTCGAGAAAATAATAGTAAAATGGGAAACAAGCCTTTAGTGTTATTTTTTTGTGGAAAACTAGATGAAAATACTGTTTAAAAAACATACATTTCCAGGCTTCACTTGGCCAACTCAGGCACATGTGGCTCAGTTCTGATAATGGCAAAGATTATATGGGCCATATCTTAAAATATATTTATATTATATATGACATATTGAAATAAACATTGATTTTATGAAATGCACAGCAATGTCTTATTTATGACATAACCGACTCTGTAATACTCTGCACGACAGCCATTTTGACAATTTTGAGTATATTTGACAATTCAAGTCGCAAAACAGAATTCCTATTTGATCATATGCTGTCTGAGAAGCGGCTTTCTGTGTGTGTGTTTCAGGTGTGTGTCAGACAGCGCAAGTACCATCGACTTCATGCCTTATTGAGAAAGATTTGCTAACGTTCCCATTAAATTAAGAAAACGTTATTTCTAAATGTTCCCTAAACGTTCAAAACGTACAAAATATTTCCCAAATATTTCTTCTTTAAAGGAACATTCTATATTTTATAATTTTGCATATGAGAATGTTACTTTAAATGTTCTCCCAATGTCCTGAAAATGTTAGGCGAACGTCCAATTAAAATATTTCTAAAAAAATAAATAAAATAAAAAATCTGAAAGAAAATGTCAGCGCAATTTTGCTGAGCAACAGTAAATGTGACCGGACATTAACATGTTAAAAACTTGAAGCAATTATGCATGAAATAGCAAAACCTGTATTTTACACTGACCAGCCTTATTTCAGTCTCACCTGTTGAGCTCTTGTTCACTGGAGAATCCTCCATGGCACCCTGAGCAGTTCGGCCGTTTGTCTCTGTCTCTGTTGGCTCGACAGGAACTTGACCTGGCAGTGGAGGGCACAGAAACCCTTCGAGGCTTTCGGACCTGGACAAACAGCAGTTGCTGCAACCGCTCTGTTCGTTTCGGCTATCCGAAATATCACCACTCCACCTCCATTCAACGATGTACGAGCCTCTGCTGCTAAGGCTTAACCACTCTCCACAGAACCTCCTCTCTACATTGTCCTTAGAGAGGGACAAAGATGATGGTGACGTGATTCCCGGTGAAGAATCTGTGGAAGCAGTTCTCAAGGATCTGGAGCGACCTGAGTTTGGAAAAGTTCAAATATTTAATTTTCTTCTCATTATTTTCATTATTATAATGTTGGAGAAATAATGGCGATATTTACCATTATTCGGCTTGACGCCGGAGGGATCTGGTGCAGGGGATGAAGGCTCAGGATCAGGCTTTGGCTCCAGATCTGGTGGAGGGACAAAAGGCTCCACAACATCCACAGCACAACTGTGGCAACAGCAGTGGAAATAACTCTTCGTAGCCTTCCATACCCTGTTGAGCAAAGAACCAGCTCCTTTCCTCTTCCTACATTCTGTAGGTTTTTCAGAAATGAAGAAAAACAAATGAAAACACAACTATTAGAAACAGAAATAGAAAATAATTTGCATTATGAGAATGTTAATTTTGAATGTCATCTGAATGTTCTGAAAACATTACACAAATCTCCGATTAAAATATTTCTAATATTCTACTTTTAAAAAAATAATATTAATAATCAATAACAGTAGTCACATCAAATTTTTACTTTACTTTTTTTCAACTCTCTATTTTAAATGGCAAATCAGTCAGAGATGGAAACTGAGCCATAACATCTTTATTAAAGCCTATTCTGACCTCTGCGAGAGCGTTTAGATGAAGTGGACGGACGTCCATCATCTGGCCTCTGCTGGCTGCCGCTCTGCCACGCTTTCTTCCTGTGAGCCTGACCTGTGGACACAGAAACAGAAAACTCAGAAGACAGAGGTGTTAAATCTCCAGGAAGCTCCTGGATCTGTGTCGGGTCTGGCAGCGGATCCTGATCACGGTCATCAGAACCGGGTCTCCAAATCTCCTGACCAGCCGTCTGAGAGAAAGCAGCTCTCCTGGATCTGGAGCGGCCTGAGGATGGAATATTTCAGACATCACATTGTTAGTAATGTTTTAATAATAATCCGTAATCAATGTCACGGTCAATTACAAATTGTTACAATTGAAAAGTTTATTTCACATGCAAGGAATCCAATACATGTGATCACTTTGCTGGGAAAATGTAATCAAATGTTATACCTTGCACAATTTTCATCACATTAACGTATTCATTCATTGTACAACAACATCACCATAACATACATAAACCAAAAAACTAAAAAGAAACTAAAGCCCTCACCTCCTCTTTCACCTATCATGTGAACCATGAACATCCTCCTCCAAACTGCAATAAAAAACAATACAACATACAATACAAAACAATACTCAGAAATACTCCTATCAAACTAATTAAATAAATAAATAAAAAAACAAAAAAAAAATAAAACAAAAAATAAAACTACTTCTAAATAAGAAAAGAACAATACAATAAAGGTAGCTATAATCAGAAATTATATGAAATCTTTCAAAAATGCAAATAAAGGATATCCTCCGATGTCGTTGTAGAATAAAGTCTTCTCTCAGAAAATACTCTGAACAGCTTCAAAATCTCACAGAAAATAGTCTGGAAAAGTCTGAAAATTTGGCACGTCTCTCAATCAATAGAAAGCGATCGGTTCGAGTGTAAATATGCAGTGAGAATTCATAACACGCGTTGCCATGGCAACTAAAATGCGCATCCATCATGTGAACGCACATTTTACAATAAAATAATAAAAGGCTTTGCTATTTCACAAATCTTAAATGTATTAATTAAGAAACAGTTTTAACAGCTTTTTTATGTGCTCTCCATAATAGTTACTAGGCCTATATAGTTTTCTAATTCTTTCAATACCACAGAAAAAGAAAAAAAAAGTTTATAAAGAATAATAATGTGCCTTATTTTCCAGACTCTTCTCATAATTATAAACAAAAAACAAATATGATTTTATAGCGAAGAAAAAATGCACAATAATTTTTCATTTATAAGTTTGGAAACCACTTCTTTGTATATTAACTGGAAGTGTTACATTTTGTAATCGCTCATTAACAAAAATGAAAGACCACCAAGCTGATAAAAAAAATGTAGACATCATATTCCACACAAGTCTACAATATCTATCTAAAGTCTACAATACTGCACATGACATCATATAAGTGGAGCGTTTAGGTGTGAATAAATGAATATAACTGCAGCTCAGTGTGTCCATGATGAGATTTTTTGGAATGTAAACTTGTTATTTAATTATTTTTAATCTATAGTTTTAATGACGAGTTCAAGATCAAACGCGTGCATACATTATTAAAAATAGTTAAATATATAAACAAAGAAAATATATTGAATGGACTGTAATAATAGACTATATTCAGTCATCGGTTTTATTTTATTTATTTATTTATTTTTCCCTAGTTACTCATCGTCATGACTCATGACCAGGTGTTTCTGCAGCTCGGGACGATTATTATTTGCTGCTGCTGCTGTTGCTGCTGCTGGTGTCCTTCTTTAAAGGGATACTTCACCTCTGGGAAGATGTGTATTTAATATTGGTCATTTATATTGTAGAAATATTTTACATATCAATAGTTTTTATTTTAAATTCTGCATCACCAGATTTAATTTTCATTTGTGACAATTTCTCTAAACTTTATCACAGTAGGCCTACTAAGTTTAGTATAGGCTACTATTCGTATTCTTAACCTACAAACATAACTTTCCTTAATGTCGAAGTGATTCTGCATATCACCACCAGAGTTCATGTCACGTATACAAAAATATTAAATAGAAGCTTAGGCTACTCCTCATTGAAAATTGTCTAAAACATTTAGGTCGATTACAATGAATTATAGGCATATCAATAACTATTAACAGTCTATAATATGTCCGAACATCGCAATAATTAATCAATGAAAATTAAAAACTAGTTTATTTCAAAAACATTGTTTAACAAATTAATAAAAGAGGCGTTTATCGCAGGTGGCTTAGACGTGGGTAATATGGTTAATCCATTTTGTAACACGAACGGGAGGTAAGCAACAGTAATTTGTAGCTAGTTTGAACAACAGAACTTAATAGATCTCCCTCTTTTCGTTTTTATTTTATTTTTGCTGCAGATGAAATGGTTAAACTTCTGTTTTCGCGCAGGCGCAGTGAGGGAAAAAAACACTGAGTTTAGGGCAATCGGTTCGTAGCTTTGCTTCAACTGTGCAATATAGTCACGAGGAGCGACCAAAATTTCTGACATGCCAGAAATTCATCCGACCATCCGATTGTCGATCGGGAGATGTTAATCGCCTCTCGTTTCTCCCTGTACACTGCGGGAACACTGCACGACAAACGACGCACGACAAAGCTGAAAATCGGTCCGACCCGAAAAAGAGTAAAACGAGTTACAATTCTACGGTGGCCGAGAGGTGCAAAACAAATTAGGCTACAATTCAGAAAACAAAATAACAATTCAGAAAACACAACGACAATTCAGAAAACAAAATAACAATTAAGAAAACACAACAACAATTCAGGGAACACGACGACAACTCAGAAAACAAAATAACAATTTAGAAAACACAACAACAATTCAGGGAACACAAAGGCAATTCAGAAAACACAACGACAATTCAGAAAACAAAATAACAATTAAGAAAACAACAACAATTCAGGGAACACAACGACAATTCAGAAAAAAAATAACAATTCAGAAAACACAACAACAATTCAGGGAACACAACGACAATTCAGAAAACACAACAACAATTTAGAAAACAAAATAACAATTCAGAAAACACAACGACAATTCAGAAAACACAACGACAATTCATTAAAAAACGGTAAAGGTTGGCCTAGGTATATTTTGAGAATGGCATACTTGTCGCTGATTGGACGAGACACCTGTCAATCAAGCCAGAACCGGAATCAAGCGATTACTGGAAGTACCAAGGGGAAAAGCGATTCGTTTTTACCATAGACTGTAAAAAAATAGGTTTTTACATTGAAGTCTTCACGGATACTTTTGTACATGCAGCTACCGTGAACGAGATTATAATTTTATTCCCCGATGCTGATGTACAGATCAAACGTTAAATCTGAAGTAGTAGACATATTTCTCTCGGTTGTTTAGTTTCCTTAACTTTATATCTCGGCGCTGTGCTGCAGAATTGGGGATTCCCTCAATACGTCATTGTCCAGGATTGATCACCCTGTGGTCAGGACACTTAAAGTAACTCAATGGACAAAACACAGTACAATAAAAGACCAAACTCCCACCTTATTGGGGATTTAGGCTATATGAATAGGCTACAGGTAAGCAGATGGAACAGAATATGAACGTAACGCGCAAAGTTTTACGCTAAGTGATTCCCTGTGAAGTATAGGCTACGTTACTGGCATAAGCTGGCCTAGATATTCGTATTTAGGGACCGTGACCATCTCTAAAGTTACATACGACATTGGTACACACGTTTCTAACTTCAATAGCATTTTAATGACTTACAGTCATAAAACCATCTGTAAATTGTTCATGATGTAGATGTCAGGCATGATGCACACTTTTTAGATAGTTGATATTAAAATTAATATGAGCTCATGCGGTACTGAAAAAATATGTACACATGATTTGACAGTTTATTTGATTAAAATACCAAAAACGAATCGCTTTTCTACCCTCGGTACTTCCAGTAATCGCTTGATTCCGGTTCTGGCTTAATTGACAGGTGTCTCGTCCAATCAGCGACAAGTATGCCATTCTCAAAATATACCTACCTTTTCCGTTTTGAATGAATTGTCGTTGTGTTTTCTGAATTGTTATTTTGTTTTCTGAATTGTTGTTGTGTTTTCTGAATTGTTATTTTGTTTTCTGAATTCAAAGTCAAAGATTTATTTAGCCATTTCAACAATTCAGTTGATAGGAATGTGTCTTGGTATGCCCACATATACCACTTAATTGACAACAATACACTGGCACAACAACACATGCCACACATATATCCCCCCCCCCCTGTTTTAATTTAAACATTCAACGTTCAAACTTACGATTTAAAAAACGTATGGCTTGGAGGTAGGTGCTGTCTCTGAAGCGTGATGTCCTGCTGATAATGCTTCTGTACCTCTTCCCTGATGGCAGCAGAGTGAACAGGTAATGTGCTGGATGATAGGGGTCGGTAGTGATGTATCTCGCCTTCCTGATAATCCTGGTGTCATATTGTGAGGCTATGGTAGGCAGACTGCACCCAGTGATCTTGGAGGCTCTGCGCACAACTTTCTCTAGCTGTTGCTTATCCTGACTGGTCGCATTACCGTACCAGGACAGGATGGAGAAGGTCAGCACGCTTTCTATGACGGCTCGGTAGAAATGAGTCATGCCTCTCTGGCTAACCCCAAATTTCCTCAACTGACGGAGAAAATAGAGTCTCTGATGGGCTTTGTTTACCATGCGACTAA